TTGTTTAGCCCTCAACCCCCCCCCCCCCCAAAAAAAAAAAACCCAATTCAATAAAAACAAAATGTACTAGCAAAATGTAAGAATTTGACGTACATGGGATCGGTCTCCCCTGAATGAGAAGGGTGCATTTGGTTAATATAGTGTGCCTGATCGTAGGATTTTATCAGCGCTCCCCATTGAAAATATGGCCCTTCCCCCCCCCCCCCCCCCCCACATTGATTTTCAGAGGCCTTAGTTTCCGGAGAAAATAACCGGTCTACATTTCAGCACGCTTCCCTGAAACAATTCTGGATCCACCTTGCTAGCCCCCCCCCCCCCAAAAAAAAACCCAAATATTGGCTCTAGAACCGCGCCTGCTTTTCATACAATTCACCCACATGGAACGTGCTGGAGATCAGAAATGTAACATCGGATAAATCTGTCCTTTAACTTTGCAGGCACGCTCACAATTTACGAATATACGTATAGTAATAAATTACAATTTTTTAAGCGCTGAGGAAATAGATATATGGCCAAGAGGATCTCAATCATAGAACTGCTGTCAAAACGGGGATTTTTTTGTTAGTAAAAAATATGTGAACTGCAAAGTTTTTTGGGGTTTTTTTTACCCATTCTCATCATGTTCTGGCGCATTTTACCCATAGCTTATTTCAGCTGTGAACATTAATGTATCCATTCGCTGGTACTCATCCGAGCTACATCACTGACAAGCAAAGTCCAAAGCCTTGGGAACCTGCCAAAATCCCAACAGCTTCATTGGCACGAACTAAAAACTGCATAAAAACTGCTTTTCATTTCTTCTCTCATCTAGAAAGGGAACTTTGAAAGTCTCACCGCTGCTTATTAAGATAAGATGGTGGCTTGTTATTTGGATGTCTGGTGCCGGGTTTAATGAAAAAGATAAGGTAATGGAATCGAAACGGAAATGCAATCTTCCCGTCTTGCGAGGCTCCGAGAGGACCTTAACCACACTGCAGATGAAAATCAAGAACTTGTCAAAATTGTTGTTACAGCCCATCAAAAAAAAAAACGGACGGGGGGAGGGGTTTAAAAAACAGAAGGGGGAAAAAGGACATTTCATGCTGGAATGCCAACTGGATTGCTTATCTTAAACCAGCGTCGCGTCACGCATCCATCAGAGCGAATTTGCGCGGGTCAACCGTGAATTGGGTGTGTGCAGAAACGCTTCCCGCCATAACCCCGGACTCGAAGCCTGAGAGGATATCCAGCACTGGGCAGCTGTCTATGAGCTGCGGCCCCTCGTAATGAAAACATCCTCCCTGAAAATCTTCCCTATGCATAGGTCCTCTTGTGGGATCGATGTACATAGTATGCACGCCTTGGAATAGCCTTGTTGTTTACAGGCTAAATGCATTACAGTGGTAAGACCCTATGAAGAAAACCCTTAGAAAGTAAGGAGGCACTTGTAACTCAGAAAAGGGGTAGTATACCACAACCACCTCTCAGATTAAGGGGCAAAATTAAGCTCTTTATTGTTTTTAAAATCCATTTGTGAGCTGCCTCTGGAAAACGAGCCCTCCACGACTGGCATTACGCCAGTTTACTTTATTGATTTGTTTAGTTGCTTTCATTCAATTTGCTAACAACATTGAACCTAATTAGCAGCATACTTAGTTTGGCAAGGTTTGGCAATGCGCTAGACAGTTTAGGTTTAGGAGTTTTTTTGGGAGGGGGTTCAATACTTTGCCATATTAAATGTTACGGCTTTCGAAATAATTAACAGATAATTTTCAACTCAAGTCTCCGTTTTCAACAAAGCAGCATCTTGACATTCCCTTTTAGAATCCTTAGAATCTTGAGAGGTTTATTCGCCACCGCAATAAAAACATTTCAATATATTGTTTCACAATTTTTAGTTTACTGCAGTGAACAATTTAGTTTTACCCCTTTTTTCTGTTTCTTGTTACTTTTTCCGAATGTCCCCATCTTCACACAGTATGTTTGCTTAGTTAAAGTAGCCTACGAGCTTTTTTGAAACGCACACAAGAAATTCAAACAAATAATATATAATCTTTGCTATATATTTTTAATAGGTCTTCGCCAAAAATATAAAAATACAAAGGCAGTGTTATATACAATGCTCTAACAAAAGTAACAGAAAGATTCAGCAATGAAAAAACATAAACTGTCCGATAAGCTACCCTGAATGCTCACAAAGAGGGCCTAAGACAAGCAACACAGCATGGTGACTAAAAGTCAATGCAGACAATAAACTTATACTTACACACACAAAAAGATACATTTAAGATAAGGTCACTTTAAAATACAATCGTCGGTTTTTAATTTGACAAATGAAGGGTTTGATTTTGCATGTAAAACTGACACAAGCGCTTACGTTTTGTTCGGGACTCATTAATGAAATTTTTGAAGACTTGTTCATTTCAAACTGATGGTCAAAGGTCAGCCTGTAGACGGATTTCAAATGATTATACCGTGCGTCGGTGCACTCTTGTACAGAGGATTAAACGAAACAATTAAATGGCCCATCACATGCATTTTTCTTAGGAACACATTTTGTGCAACTTTCTACTCCTCGTTAATGTACGAAAGCTATTCTGACATCCCTGTTTGGTTAATCCTATTGAAAAGTGCACATCTTTAAACATTTTTAAAATGTCCATGCTTTTCCTGACAAATGAGGGCGCTGTTGTTGTGATGTCATTTCAGGAAGACACTGTTCAGTTTAGGGTTTTTCTGTAGTGAACCCAACATGTGCTCATTAAAAGCATTGGTGAGAAAACTTTGCTCATTGGTCTACTGCCATGTACTGTACAACAACGAATCACCAAGAAAACCAATTTACGGCAGCATAATATCCAAACTCGGGCAACTTTTGGTGCTGAAATAGCTGTTACATTGAGGTTTCTGCCCGAAATGACATCACAGCTTTGCTCTTGAATATGCAAATTTGCATTAGCATAAGACCCCAAAACGCACCAAATTGCCCTTAATAAGGGCATTTTCTTTTTGAAAATAAGGTTAATGGGACACAAAGGTGCATTTACAACGACTGCATTAAAAAAATTACATTACATGGGCCCTTTGAGTTCCTGCTATCATAATGACTATACGCACTGAACTCTCATTGAAACTCTCCCCGAAAAAATATAGATTTGGGTTTTTTATTTGCTGGGTTTTTTTTCTAGTAATACGAAATGTATTTTCTTTGAGTGAGATATCAAACAAAACCTCCCGCCTACGTTTAGTTATGGATTATTAAGTTCCGGTACAAATTTAAAATATTTGTGGCCCGATAACAATTCAGGCGCATGTTTTTGAGTGTTATGGCGCAAAAGTAACCAAAAATATAACCGTATTCGGAGGGCTTAAAACGTCCAAATTAGAGCATAGCTTTTTTCCGTATAAAAAAAAACAAATCGAAAATTGGTTAAGAGAAAAAAAATCAAATACGTTGAAGAGCAAACCTTCGACTCCGAATGGTTTCATGTAACTTTTCATGAGAAGAAGTGCACACCTCATAATGCTTCGGCTTGCCAAATCAATCGATCTTTGTAATAGCTCCAGGGACATGACAGAAGATTCGGATTTAACATAGGCCGTCCCACTTTGCCTCTAGCTAGTTTGTCACTTCAAACTAAAGGAGGATATAGCGAAATAGGTGCGTTTTGGTTTCCAGTATTATTGCTGATGACGTCATGGTTGCGACATCATCCATGACACAAAACATGAAGCCAAACTCAACTTGTGCAATGTCATAATGTCAAACGTCGAATTCTAAACATGCAACTCTGCTCCGTTCGTCCGTTTCATGTTCTGTGTTTAAAAACTAAATAGAAAATGGGACAGAATATTTTCTCCTGTCTTTAATTTGTTTTTATTACTGAATTATTGTCAGTACTATTAATACAATACTCCACACCACGCCCTGCATGGAAACATTGAAAGTAAAGTAACCGAGAGTGATAATAGTAATTAAGGCTATAAAACAAATACATGTACTGTGCATTATTAATAAAGATTTAATAAGATTTGCATAGTTGCAATATGAAGTACTTCAAAAATGCATACATCGTTTTTGACAATGTCATAAAAATAAATAGTGCAAGCTATAATATACAATCAGACCTTGCATTCCTATATCATGTCGGCAGTTCCACGTTTTAGTGTGTCCCGCTGCAACAGAAATTAGTTTATGTTAAAACACCCGTTGCAGATCTATACGGGGTAAGGGGTTTAACATCCCCCTCGGGCTGCCAACAAAACAAGTCACATGCCTGCTAAGCCCCACTCTTGACAGCTAAGCCCCACCCCACCCCTTCAGCCAAGCGTGGATCCACCGTCCTTACACCCATTCAAGCCAAATCAGTAAAATACGTTGCTCCTTGCAAGGAATGTCACGATGCAAAGATAGTCCATACGTAACATTCACAGTTTGCGACTAGGCTGGCACAAACTAGTCAAAGAAAACTGGCATTCTATAGACCAGAATGAAAATATCAAGACACAGTCGGTATCTAGCTCTGTCCTTATTTCTATGAATGATTCATCCAATCAGACACCATATTAACCGCAAGTTGCATACCCCCTTTGCCAAAGAACCCTGTGTATAGATCGTTTGCACTGCGCCCATCTTTGAGAGTGCGAGTTTTTATTGAACAGGGATACACGTGTATAATCCTCTTGTGCAGGCATTGTTAATGAATCAACGTAACAAAACACACATCAAAGATGGCGCTGAATGCAATCGATCTTTAATAAAGCTGACATGCATAAGCGAGTGATACGTGATCATGTGGATGTACTCTGATCAGTTAATAGCAAACTTCCTTTGTACACTCCCCAGCAGAAAAAGAAAAGGAGACCATCCATTCTAAATGTCTATAATCCCGGATCCATTGGTCTTAAAGGATAGTCGTTTTTGTATCACAAGTTCGCCAAAAGTTCCTGAGACGCAGTGGAGACGATCCCATACCAGACGCGTCAAACTGATTAGTGCTTGTGCATTGCCAACACAAAAAAGCAAGGGAAATTTTTGGTTAACCAATGGAAAGACGCAAATCCGGAATATCCGGAAAAGGACTTGGGTGAATTATCCGCAAAGTTCCGGTTATACTTGATCATTGGTTTGAGCTACGACTTTGGGTAACTTGGGGAGTGGCCGGATGACCGCTGCATGTCCAGCTATCAGCGGGATCAGTGAGTGCAGCTGTCACTAGCTTCAGAGGGTCTAGTGGTTTACTGATCCCCTCCTCGCATATGCTGAATGATACACCACAGAACTCCCCCCAAATATACTATTGGGGGAGGGGGCGATTTACGTATACCGTTTGCATACACTCTGTGCACCTGCGTTACTTGAGGTTTGTTTGGATACTTCTTGTACTGCCCTTCACTCATTGTCACGTCCATGTGCTTCTTTCACAATGATCAGTTGGTGGTAAAATTAAAAGCAGGGTTGCTCAAAAACCCGCCAACCAATTGTAATTTCATTTTCGGTTAATTCTAGACGTTACATTTGGATGATTTTCATATACACAATTCACAAGCAATACAAATATAAATGGGTTCCCGACAATGACCTGCAAATGAAGGATCCTTGTAAGTTCTATTAAACTAAAGCTGAATTAAGGCACGTTTGCTGTTTTGACAGTTTGCGAAATTTGTGTTAAAACAATTCCGTATAGTCTGTTGAATCCGTTTCTGCAGAGTCAGGACCAATATTCTGAGCCTCATCGGGTACAAATGAGTACGACGTGGTGTCTGGCGAAGGTAAGGCAACGGGACTGGAGCTAATGGACAGGTTAGAGCTGCCCTGACTGGACACTGATGTTCTATGATCCCTCATACTCATGTAGCCATCGTCGTGTTTCAGGAGCGACTCCTTCATGGAGAAGATCACCGGGCAGGGCTCCTCCACACTGCTGGAGCGCTTCCTGGGATGGTCGTAGTGGTTCCGCGCCCGGTTGTTCTTGGGCACTGAGTAGTAAACTTTGGGAGCGTTCACCTTCAGAGATGTCTGATATGATGGCTGGCTGATGCTACGCACTAGGTGGCTGGTCCTGGGAGGAGGCTCTTTGTCTGGACACTCGGCGATGTCATGGAGCTCCTGGAAGCTCTGCTTCCGCGTTACCTGATTCCCACCATCGGCAACAGTGGGACAGGCCCCGTTCTGTCTCTCAGTCACACACTGTCATTCTCATGACTCTCGGGAGGAGAGTGCCTTGTACTAGTGCTACCTTGTCGACTGCTAATGCTCAGTGCATCGTTGCTGCTGTTCCTTCTACTAAAGCGAAGTGCATGATTACTATCCACACTTATGCGGTTGAAGGTCTCTGGGGCGCTGCTCTTTCTCCTGGCTGCCGCCCCGTGCACGCTATTCCTGTTATTTGGCACGAGGGTTGGCTCAGATATGTGCGAGATCCCGTTGGAGTTTGTGTTGATGGCAGTGTTGGTCACATACGGGACTCCTCCAGGCGAGCGGCCCGTGCGTCTCACTCGGCCCAGTCGCCAGACTCCCTGCGGATTGTTTAGCGTCATATAGTCCCGCTCAGGGTGCTGACTACCATCCAGTCCGATGTATCCGTCCGCTCCAACCACTACGGGGCTGAGCTGCATGCGGCAGTACACTTTACGCTCAGCCTCAAGCTTTCGGATGCGTCTCCGCAGAATGACAATGTAGACAACCAGAATTAAAATGGTGACCAGCGAGAAGAGAGCGACAAATACGGCCAGGGTAAGAAATTTTCCTGAAGACTGGGTGGGCGTTTCGTTCACAGATGGGCCAGGTGCCGGTGAAACGAAATGTTGTCCTGGAATCTCAACAACAGTTCGGTATTGTTGAGTGGGCATGTTGGCGTTTGGTGTTAACATGGTAGATGTAACTGTGTCTGTGATACTGCCTTCGCAAGTGTGGTCCAGTAATCGCAGTCCAGCAGGCATACCGTAAGCGATGGAACCCTGGTTGACACCCATTCCGTATAGAGCCAGAGAGAATCGAGTCTCCGCCTTTGAGTGTCTGAGGAAATGCACACCTCGTGCAAGCACCATCTGCGCCATACAGTATTCGCGGCCGTCCAGGGTATGTCGAAGTCGGTCCAGTCTGCCAAAAGACGACTCGGGTATTTCGAATAGATTGTGTTCTAATCCTCTCACGTCCTGGCACTCGATGATCACATTGGCGTAGTCGGTCAGTTGAGAGTAGGACGAGTCGATGGTGTAGAACACGGCATTGCTGGAGAACTGCTCGAGAGCGGGAACCAGCATCATGAAGGGGTCTCCTGTGGTCTGGTCTGCGTCACCGCCCAGACTGTACTGCATCACCAGCAGAGGTTTGTCAGCGGTAATGCTCCGGCTGGAATTGGACATGATTTCTATCTCAAAGAACTCCCCGGCATGGAGCGTGGCCCTACCATACAAAGACACGGCCACTGTAGTGTCGTCCCTAGCAGCCATGATGCGGAATGCATCTCCACTCGTCCGCCCGAACAGGGGAGAAGTAATAAAGGAGCGACCCCAGCTCTTCACTGGGGGAAGCATCTCGACTAAGTGATCACAGAACCGCATGTTGACAGGTACGTCGGCGCATTTGCTGCCCGATAGCACACCGATCTTTTTGCTGGCGACAATCCGCGTGCTAGTCAAATCTTCGTCAGCACTGGCGAAGTGGACTACTTGTAGTCGATTCAGCGTTACTCTTATCTGATCCCCGCTCCAATACCGCTGTCCCTCGTGCTCTATAGTCCCGGATAGCGTAATATCCACCACGGTGTCATCCAAGATTCCCAGGAGCGTGAACTGGGACTTCCTCTGATCCCTCTGCAGACGGTCTGAGATGCTGTAGGACACCACGTAATATTCTGTGCCCAGGGCGTCAGTAGGCAGAACCAGGAAGGAATCCATGGAGTTACCTTCCTCCACTCCGTACACTGTCACCTCGTGGTCGGCCGTGACCAGGACAGCGGCGGTGCTAGGCCCTTCCTCCCGCACCACCTTGACCCGAGACTCGTGTGAGATGGAGACAGTGATGTCGGCATCGCGGGGGGATTGTACGGTGACCCGAGTAGAGCGAGCTGAGGCGCCGATGATGTACAATCTAGGGTCCGCAGACGGGGACATTGTCTCCATGAAGGCCACAACAAATTCCGTACCCTTGCTGTCAGCCACTGGGCAGGGGTCATTTCCTGTACAACATGAACAAACAAAAAAATGTTTTACTTTCACTAAGAATTTCAGACTGACATGCGACCAATACTCTAATACTGAACAATACTCTGTGTGCGACATATTTTCCTCTTCATGACACGAAACAGAAAAAAAAAAAAAAACAGACACACTACTGAGGTTTTTATCACAAACGTTTATCCTGTTTTGAAATAAGGACAACGGAGGTCAACGAACGTTAAGCCTTCCAAATTGCTTTCAAATTCACCTTGTCAGGCGCGGATCCAGGGGAGGGGGGATCTATAACCCCCTGCTCTGACACACACAAAATTATAACAATTATAGTAATATGTCTGCCTGTCCGCAACAATCGGACATAAAGAACTGACGGTCCTGAACCCCTCCCCCCCCCTGCAAAAATTCCTGGATCCGCCCCTGCTTGTGTGTGGATGCATGCGTAATAAAACAATATTAATTCAGACCAAAAAGGAACCACGTTTCGGTTCTCGTCGTAGGTTCAACGAAAGGGGTAATTGTCATAATAGCTTGGCAGTATTATCGTGTTGTAAACGCTTGGTACTCGAATCACTCTCATTTTCAGCCAAGGGTCACACCGGGGCTAGACTGACCGATCCGGTCTCTCGGCTGGAAGCCGGATACCACGAAGACAATGCAACTGATAATACAATAGCCTCGGAAACCCTTGAGCTTTCAGATAAGGACGGGCTACCGAATTCATGGAGGTGATACAAAAGTAGGTTAGGTACAAATGACAATGAAACTCAGACGAATTTCAAGTCACAGCCGGTAACCATAAAATCAACTCCCAAAAGATATTGAAAATAAAGATTCCACGTCTGCAGATCTTCACAATGATCGACAACGAAAGAAATTAGGTTTCTTGCAATAGAGTTGAAATGCATATCTCTGGAGAAGATTTTCATGTGTGGTAATGAAGACTTCGATATATGATTCCTATTTCAAAATGACAGTATGTCAGACGAAGGTGTATTTACTGTCTAAACTAAGTATAAATCTTTTTGATAATGATTATCAACTTGTTGTTGGACATTACCATTTTATTAAGTTTTGTATCAAAATAAAATCACCGATGACAATTGAGAACTATTTTGGTTAAAATTTAATACAGTCAAAAGTTAAGGATGTTCCATATAAAATGCACAAAAGTCAGAGTGTGTTCTATAAAAAGATCCGCAACTATTAATACGCACATCCTTGAACCTTATCACGTATGTGAAAGGTTTCTCCTCACTTTCTTTCCTCCAAGTTCAAATAGAATGACGGTTATGCATTTTATTAGTAGCGAACATAAATAGGTGATTATCAGTGGGTAAAGGGAACCATCTGATTTCTGGCCAGCCTACTGTCCCAATTAAACACATCCACCGTGAATGGACGATTGATGGATGACGTCACGCCACCGGCGCCATGGGATTGGTCAGGAGACATGGCTTATTAACCGCCGCCATGGCAACTAATTCAAATGCGTCTGTGCCCGGAGGCCCATCCATGTTTGGATAACAGCCTGGGTTTTACAAGAGCACTATGTTCTTGACAATTGAATAGTAACGCTCTTCTGCTTTATATTTAAGAAAACGGTAGTTCCACCAAAGTTCTATGCAGAATTTTGTTGAATGTTATAAGCTGCATTGGTTTTCTGTATACTGATCACGTGAAAAAGATTAAAAGTATGGCTTTGATGTGGTCTGCTCAAATAGTGATTATTGTAGACCTAATTTATCTTTGTGTCATATTGGTTGAACTTTTCTTTGATTATGGACAACTAAGATTTAAAAGTACACTTAGTGCATTTGTTTTATGGATGTATGTGCATTAAATATGTTACTTGCTCTGAAAGCATGCACTCAATGTAAACGAGAAGTTTGATATAAACCACAATAATCCCTCGCAAAATTTGCTTGTCGCATGCAAGGGGTGCTGAGCAAAATGAAGGGAGATATTACCGATAAAAATACGTGTACATGTATATCAGTTCTTGATGTAAACCCTGCGACTTTGTAAAAATGGAGAAGGCTACGTAACAGCTCGCATGTGAATGTCCTTGCACTTGATTTACTGGGGTACACGAGTTTGGCTATGTAACTAGTTGCACTTGAGGCCCTACTTCTGAACATGGACATATTATAGTATGACTCAGTTATGTTGGGGCTACTGGAAGTGCACCATGACTTGCAGATACCCTGGGAAGAAAATGTTGACAGTTAGGGGACCGGCGCACAGATGTTAACTCCGTGCTGCGTTTGCTTGGCGTGATCAACCTGTTTCCGTGCATACAATCACGCAGAAGCGCGATTCTCTACTCCTATATAGACCTAATTATAATCATCGACAAAAGTTTTAGAAGAATAGCATGGTGCTTGCGATCAGTATACGTCTGTGCAGATTGCTCTCCGCGCTGCTGTTAATGTGTTCAGACAGAGGGCTGACGCATCGTTTTAGGGGTCTTACCAACATTCTGGCTTTTTTTCTGCCAAGCTGATCTGATGCAGGGATTTAATAGTTCATGTGGTGAAATATTTGAATAGCAGACAATGTGAGCACGATGAGCTGTAAGATTTCCCCCTTCTTTGCTTATTCGCTGAGGGCACCATACGTACCAAGCATGAAATTATTTTCATAAAATGTGTAAGAAATTGCCTGAACGGCAACTCTTTTAATAAGTTGTGCATGCTCATTGATAAGACCGTACTCCTGCTCGTAAAATATCCTTTACTGCAAACTGTAAACTTGATTAACTACAGAGACTTAGTTTCTAATTTTTATAGCGGACGTTCGCATGCTTGGGCTAATCTTCTAGGCCCTCAATTGATATCGTACACACGCTACCCTGGATGTTGCAGCCTGAAGGCCAATCTCAGGAAAGGAGGCTCCCTTTGGTCTTGGATCACAGGCTCTGCTTGTTCTTCCTGGAGACAGACTATATCAAGATGTATACGGTCTTGACCGGGAAAGACAAGGCTTCCTCTCCTTATGTAATTTTTTTTGTTCAGACCATCATCAGCCGGGCATTTACGCCCAACTCAACATGACAGCTGTGGCGGCTTAGATAATTTAAAATCGCATCATTAAACTGGCGTGAGTGCGAGCCGTGTGTTCGCATACGTTTATATTGTACACAGACTTACATGAATAGTTGAGCTCCTCACCACTGTGAACCGAGATAGGCCTATAACTATAGTGTTTTCAATTATTTATTTTTCGGATTTTAGCTAATTAAGTGCAAACATAAACACACAGCTAAGCACCAAACTGAACACTAGTCTGGTAGCGAGCTAGGTATAAAGACTACCTTTTTCGCGTCGGAAAAACACTCAGTAAGAATATCAATGGATATAGACATTCGACTCAGCTGTGGGAGACAGGGTGTGTTAAAACAAAATGCTGAACCAAACAAATGGTTTAGTTTGTTGAAATATGACCTTGAAAGCTGTCAGTGTGGATGCAACTGAAAATCAAATGGTGGTTTACCAGTCTTGCACCACTGCATGCAGTCATGGACGACTGAGCACCATTACATTGATTTCAAAACAGAAGGTTAAACTCATCTTTTTCCAAGTTAGGCTGATTATGGGCTGACGAACTGTCTGAGCAATATACTGTACATTACTGTTATAGACTGTATGTTGAATGAGGAGGCCCAACAGTCAGTACTCCAATGTGTGGCTTTTCCTTACTAGGCCTATATAACTTCACCTTGTTCGGCCCATTCGGACAGTAACATACTATATGGACGAATCATGAGGGAGAAATTATGACCATTATAAAATTCTGAGGAACTGATCGAGAAAGAGAAACTTCTTCAGCAGTCTTCAGCACACATCTCAAATTGTTATGATTGCGGTGTGACCTCGTTTGGAACTACCATGGCCTCTTGGTGGTGCCACACAGGCCGCTTAACCTCCAAACTTTAGGTTGCAGACTTAGTAAATAAGTCAAAATCACCATTTGTTTGCGGCAGTTTCTTTCTTGACAAAGATATTTGTGGCTTTTGCAATTGAGGGTTTGTATAGCAAGTAAGCTAGGATCTAAGCTCTAGCTGATCCGGACTTGGAACTTAAATTAATGAGAAAATGAGGTTGAAATGGTCAGAAAGTCGCTCTATTTTGCAATGGATCGTTTTCAAAATGGCGCAGATGGGCTTTTTTTCTTCTCTCCAGAGTTTTCTGCCACTTTCTGCTTGAAGTTCACACCAGTGTGCATAAAGGATTGGAAGGCCGTACTTACAGATAACCATAATCGAGACAGATCCGACATTTAAACGAACTATACACGACGGTACCTGTGTGACGGATACACAGCTCGTCTGTACTATAGGCTGTGTCCGATTTACTTGGCTACGGCTTGAATTGCACAGGTGTCTATGGCAGCGGCTGCAGCCACTTCTCACAGACACGTGTGTAATATCAAGACCTAGCCAAGTCATTCGAACACAGCCCACGTCTGGATGTCAACAAAATTCACAACCAAGGAACAAACCAATTAAGCTAATATGCGCTGTCTTGTCCATACGCATAATGTTGACTTACATGCATGTGAATTATCTTTCGGCCATTTATTTTAGTCAATAAAACCATATGTTTGTTTTAATAACCCAACTCCACCGACTGAAGGGGAAAACATGTTCTATTGTTTTACCTCAATAATTGTTCCAAAGCCTGGCTTAACATCCGCTATCTTTTTGGACGGAACTGCTGGATCCGAAATCCTTCCCTATCACTCCAAGACACTTGGGTATAATGATGCAGGAAACACGACCCGGAAACACCAAGTTTTTTCTGCCTCGAAATTGCTTATTTCCTTCGTATCCCCACTCGACCCCAAGCCCGTACACGTTTATTCTTAGCCTGCTTAATGTAACCACGCTGCAGATATAGCCACATTTTGTCTGTTGACGCCATGCGCCAAGCGTTTGTGTGCTGTTTTCGATGCATCACTGGCAAGTTTATGTGATGGGATCCATTTTGTACTGCTAATAATTTCGGTGCAAATTTACACTTAACGTGTGTTTTCACATTATGCTCTTCATTTTTCAGCGATATGTGCAAGACCTGCTCCTGTAGTTTTAATAATTTAAGTTACATGCCTTTATTGTTGTATTTTTTCACAATGAAGCAGCCCTCTATTTGAATTTCTATCACACGGTATAATCTACAAACTACCGAAAACATTTTTATATAAAACTTTACATGAATCCTAAAGTAAACACAGCAACCTTATAGGGGCATTACGGCCTGAAATCTCCGAAAATGTAATGTTTCGGATTTTTTACTTATCCTATTTGAAAGGTCTGGTTGAAAGGAAACTAACCTATATCTTACCGTTCCCCCCAAAAGACGGGGAAAACCCGGTTGTTTACATCAGACGCGGCGGATATTTTGTGGCATGTACGTATACGCCTACTTGTTTCCAGCCGTAAATAAGTCGTGGAATTATAGGCTCTATTCTAAAACAAAAAAGTCAATATATTCACTCAACAGATGAGCACACATTTGTTTGTTTTTAAGAAATGCTTTCAAATGAATGTGTGTGTGACTGGAATCACGACTAACACCCAAAAAGTTCGATTTTTCGGAGTCAAAATTCGTTCTCGTGAGCCATCGCAAGAATTAAACACAAAAACGCCCAGTTTTTAAAGGATGGTCGTGTGGATGTTTACATCCTACTTTTAAATGCCCTTTTTAATTTAATTTCCTTTAAAACGCGTTTTGCAGCCCAATTGGGCGCATTCCAGGACGTAATGTCCCTTTAAATACAGAGAACGCACGCATGCATTTTGTTGGGGTACCGTACTATCTTGTTTCAACTAAATTTGACTAAACTGCCATTGACTATAAAGATTTTCTACGGATCGCAAAACCTTTTTTGCTCTTAAATGCGGAACTAACAAAATGCGCAACTAAACTAGCAAGACATGCACATTTTCTGACACAAAATTTTCTCTGAAATATTACAAGCGCCGGTATCATTTCAGAACCAGGAAAATATCTTTAACGCTTCACATGTTTTGGCAGACATTCATAATGAAGCCTGTAATTTGCTATGTGCCATTTTTTCTTTTTGATGCAGACAATAATAACACCGGATTTACCTGTAACACAATTACAAAAGATATACTCCGGGTTCAAGTGTCATATTCGTGATAACATTTCAAATTATGCTTATTATCATTTGAGAAATTTTTCCGCGCTCTTACAGGAACACCACTTAACTGAGCATGAATAATAAATACTTCCCAATGAATAACTAATAACAAGTTCGCGTATGATGTCCTTGAGCTGAGTACACGCCACACGTCCACCCCAGTGTTGGGGGTAGAAGAACTAATATCGAGCAACTTACGAGGTGTCGACGTGCATTTTATTTATTGTGGGTGTACTGTACTGTATTGTATTTTAATTGAATCTTTGCGGGACGCCTATTAACACTCTCTCGTTTCGTTTGAAACCGGTCCGCACGTAGCTGACCACTGACCACTTTTGGGAGACAAAAACACACTTTGTGTTTAACATTCAAATTAATCGACCCTTATACTTATAACATTTTTCATAAAAGTACCGTAGGTCTCTTGGTAAAAGAATGTTGGCAATTTCGATACAAAACGCCGTATGACATCATTGTTTGATAAGGGTCATATAATAAAGTCCACAACGCTGTGTCAAGGGATGCCAATTAAAAGCCAAAAAGAAATGAAAAAATAATTCAACTCCTCGTAGATTTCTTTTAATTATGGTTACATAAAGCATCTTCTGGCTTTAATATATAATTAGGAGAATAAACTAATTTTTATTATTGTTTTATTCACGGGATCCACGAGCACCGAACCATTCCGAGCCGATCATGTGGCGAGGGTTAGGCTTATGCTCTACCACTAATCTTGGTCCAATTACATTGGCCAGTGTGAATGGTTCCTTGCGCTTTAATGTCACTTAACATTTCAATTAACAACCAATTAATGTTCAATTAACAACTAATCCGATCACATAACTTTAATGCACTTATTGAACGAGGCTCACTTGAGTCTATTAAAAACAATGCAGCAACTATAACCTAGTCTTATAGGGCCGTGGAAATTGTGACTTATAGAATGCTTTATTCCAATTCGTATATAACGTTTCTTAATCATGATAGTCTCCATGTAGTTTATCCCTTGTTTTCGTCTCGTTTTAAATTCAGCAGTTTAGCATCATTGACAACTTGAGTCTGCATGGTTTCGAACATTATTTTGACATGCCGCATGGGGAAGGTCGTTCATTTCAAATGAAACATACAAGGTCCGAGCCATGGCAGATTTGCATGGATGCGTTTTAATATACATCAACTGATTTGCTTTGAGGTGCATATACACTGGCACAAGGATTATGCAGATCATAATTGTTCGATCCACGATCACATTTGCCCATGACAGCATTAATATAAAATATGTTAACGTAGATGTTGCAACATTTTTGCCATTCTTGGAATAAGGTTTTAGATAATGCAATTATTGTTATGATGAATTAAGCTTGGTATGCATAATAGACACATTCCTAAGTATCAATCCAAAACTGTTATTAAATAATTATAGGAATATCGGGATATGATCTTTCTAAAAAAAGAATGACACATTAGATTTTGTGGCTTTAACCTGAACTTTATATCTTTAAAGGTCTGTGCGATTACTCACCGTTTTGAACACCATTAGCAGGCGTTATGTAGAGCACGGCAACTATCCACAACAACACGGAAAGTGGCGGGTACAATACTGGCCACCTCATGGCGAACTTTTCTTTTGAACAAATTCAGGAGTGGCGCTGTTAAATTGAGAGAGGTCTCAACCCCTCAAACTGGCCAGACCGTAGCTTGCAAAGAAAAATCCTGTGAACCTGGGTACTTGGCGTACAAGGCGCACGTTCTGGGGCACGGTGCACCGCGGCTACGGCCACCCACTGTCCTAGCTCCACCGGCTCTGAGAGCGTGCATTACTCCCGACTGATTCACCGACGTTTCACCAGCTGAATGCCTGCCTGCAGCTAGCGGGGCAGGGGCAGCATGCATGCACACAGACAACTAGCGGAAGCTGGCCCTCACGTGATGACTTTCCCAGTAGTGACGTCACGTGGTTTCATATCCGTGTTTACACTGCACTAAATGCCATGAATCTGAAACAGGGAATTGGAAGCGCAAAATGATGTAGCTTCAGTTTTTAAAACATTTTTAAAAAAATGGTCCAAGGTAAAATATGGATACGTTTTTAACCTGTGCGATTTCACCCATCGTTTGATAACATCCATGCCTGGTAGGGTTGAAACCTACATGGATAGTTTATGTTGTACATGTACACGGGGGGGGGGGGACAAAAAAGTGTTGGTCCCCCAAAAAATTGGGTCCAAAAATAACGTCGTGGGGTTCTTTTGGATTGTAGATGCTCTGTGGTGGGATCTGATGCAATTTATGACCACTTTAAGCATTTTTTTAAAGGAAAAGATGGTGGTGTACCCGACGCAGTGCCTGCCTTTATTGCGACGTCACTTTTTAAAAAAGTTGGTTGTTCTTTTTTTTTGGGGGGGGGGGCAATGGCCCCGCTTGCGTTTGCCCCCCCCCCCCCCCCGGATCCGCCCTTGGTGTGCTGTGAGGCATAAGCCACTGGACATGATTCTTACTTGGTTTTCATTTGTGTATGGAAAATTAGGCCAGATATAATATAGTTCGGTGAGACGGATTGCATCCTCCTACTTCGAGATTATTTTAGGGGGAATCGAGTAGCCAGAAACGTTTAAAGCATTATCAAGGGAAAACGTTCCAGTATTGCTCGGGGCCCCTCTCACTCATTATCCTGCTTAAAGTCTATACATGTACGTGTTCTACATAACCCCCGGGGACAGAGGGAGAACAACAGTTTCTTTCAGTCCTCGGGAGTTGGGTCTTTTGTTCAAAACGGTCCTCTGTGGTAGGTTTGTGTGCTTAGTCTATGGGAGTGTGTTATATTACAGGGACAAAGGAAAACACAAAGCGTTGTCCTCGGGAGTATAGTAAAACAAGAGTGCGTTTGTTCATGGTGTAAATCGAGGACACACACGTGCAATATCATCGATGAACTGAGGACAGGAACCAAATCGAGGACGACCTCGATTAGAAAACGTGTACAAAACCAATGAGAGCTGTTGTAAAAAAGTTAGAGTAAATCATGGTCCGACATCCCCCCCCATTGAAAATGTTCTAGCGACGCCCCTGAATATGTGCACGCGTGCTAACTTTATTGATGTACTAACAGCACGTGATGAATCAGTCCAAACTTTCTTTTCACTCAGAACATTTTTGCTGACATGGATATTTAATATGGGATGTTTTATAATTCTAAAATGCCCATTTTGCATGCCAGAGTTACTCTCAACATAAGTTTCAAAGGGTTGGAGGAAACAAATGAAATATGTGGTGCTGACCGAGCATTCAGGAGCCGGACTTGGGGTTTAAGGAATGAATTCCCTGCCGACTCCATGTAGGACTCTTCTGGGATCTCGGATTTCCCGGCCCACCACACCTCCTTCTGTGTCCATCCATATCATCGAACCCGAATGCGAAACACCATGGAACGAGGAGGAAACGAGGCGGCACCCTAAGCCTTGGCTGCCGAGATCAGCCAAACGAGCCCCGCACTCGTACAAAGTTGCTAGCCTCGACTTTGCGGACTGTCTCAGCAGCAGAGCGAGAAAGTGTGCTGAAAACCAGAAAGATTTCACTGAGATTCGAACCAATAACCCAAAAGGTTTGGCGACACCCGAATTATCTGTCATGCCATTTAGCTGTCAATCAACATGCAAGAACTTAAAGGAATCTTCCTAGGCCCGTCGCTAAGGGGGGGGGGGGGGGGCTGCAACTGCCTCCCCCCCCCCCTATCGGCAACAAACATAAGCGTCAAAATGAGATACGATTTGTTTTTGTTTTCTTTTGGTGTGCCCCCTAGCCGGTACTTTGGCCCCTCCTATAATGCCTGGAGCTGACGACGGTGCTGAATATACCAGGCGTCGGTAACTGAATCAAATTAAACAAATATTTGCCCCTATCAAAAAGATCTAACTCCATTTTCATATCCAATGTTTTAAAATTAAGTCTGATTATAAAAGAATCTCATTTATTACCAAGTTCCATATTAAAATGGTTTGTATAACATTATACGCAGCTCGGTACTTCGTGCTATTCATGTCGAGGTTTTTTACCAGTAAATGCCCGTACAGTTGACATCAACATTTCATCACCACTCTGTTGTTTCCTCGTTTCCATGGTTTCAACTATTATCCAGATGAATAATAAATGATTCAACTGACCTACACCATTATGCAAATGCTGCATATGAACCTAATGACTCTAAATAGAAAGCCTAGCAATCCCACAACAACGGCAATTAGAATTGCAACTGGTCTTATCGCGTTGAACACATATTAATCTAGTGCTAACACAAAGCAATAATTGGGGGCCCTTATTGCAGGCGCAGTTAACGAAGCTTTTGTCCGCGGCCTTTCGCAGAGGTGCGTGGTAAATTTATTGCACTTATCATGAAAGCTGACTTCCCTTAATGGGCCCACGCTATGTCAATTTTTTTAAATGCAATCCTTGAAAATGCTCCTTTGTGTCCCATTTAATCGTATTTTCAATTTTCGTTTTGCCATTTTCAAGGGCATTTTGGTGCTTTTTTAATTGTTATGCTAATGCGAATTTCCATGCATGAGTAATGTGTGATGAACGTCATGTCAGGCAGGAACCTCAATGTTACGCTATTTCAGCACAAAAGTTGCCAGAATTTTGCATATTTTGCTGTAGTAAATTATCTTGTCTTTGGTGATTGTGTTAGGACATGGAAGTAAGCCAATGAGCAAACGTTTCTCACAAATGTTTTCAATCAACACATTTGTGGGTTCACTATTAGAACAGAAAACCCCTAAACTGAACAGTGTGTTCCTGAAATGACATCACAGCAACAGCGCCCTCAGTTGTCCGGAACAGCATGATTTTTTTTTTAATGTTTGAAGGAGTGCACTTTTCAATAAAATTAACCAAAAACGGATGTAAAACACTTTTCACACATTTAAGAGAGTAAAAAGTTGCACACAATATGTTTCATTGAAAAAAAAATCACTTGATGATTGGCCCTTAAATAATACCCGACGGAAGACATGTTCAGCTTCCTGTGTGTTGTATGCCGGGAAATTGGTCGCTGTGACGTTTCTGCCAAGGAGTTCCACAATGAGGCAGTGACAGGCAAGACACTTGAGATATAACCCGTATGCCGCACCAAACCGTGGTACAAAAACGCAATATACGTTTAGATGATAAAATTTATTTGGATGAAGTAAGAATTGTAACCCAACGGTGAATGCATTTTGCACATGAGTATATTTGGATAAATGCTCGGCTACCATTCAAGTTATCCACGTTAGACGCTCCCAAAAAACCTCTAGGGCTGCAGGTAAGTAAATAAATTGCCATCGACACCAATACCCCGACTTCCAGAAACAAAGAGAAATACCCATCCCTCTCCAAAGTACTTAAATTACATAGGAAATGAAGCCTGTCTGATAAAGCTGACCGTCTTTCAATTTGGGGGGGGGGGGGTGTTATGCAATGACGTTTGGGGAGAAATCATGCCGATAACGATGAATACTACATGAACTTAAGTAGTCCTGAATTACCCTATCGCCCTTTTAAGAGCTAACCACTCAACAATATATAGTGAAACATTTGGACCTTTTAAATTGGGACGGAACGGGACGGGTTGGTTTGGGATGGGATTTGATGGGATGGGATTGGGTGGGATGGGAGTGGGATAGAATGGCATGGGATGGGATGCGAAGGGGCGGGGTGAGTTGTGAGTGAGATGGCGTGTGACTGGATGTGACGGGGTGGGATGAGGTTGGATAGGATGGGTTAGGGTGGGTTTTATGAGATGGGATTGGGTGGGATGAGTGGTATGGATTTGAATTTGGATGGGATGGGATGAGTTTGGATGGGGTGGGTTTGATGAGATGGGATTGGGTGGGATGGGTGGTATGGATTGGGATGGGGTGGGACGGGGTGGGGCTGGATGGGATTGTGTGGCACGGGGTGACACTGGGTGGTACAGGCAGGCACGGAACAGGATGGGATGGGATGGGATGGATTCGGATGGGATTGCATGGATGGATGGGATAGGACGGAATGGGATGTGAATGGAGAGGGATATTATTGGATTGGACAGGATGTGATGGGATGGAGTTGGATATGGGATGGAGAGGCCCTGCTGGGACAGGATGGGATGGAACGGCCCTGGAACGGTATAGTTTGGATGGCGTGAGATGATATGGGATGGGACCGGATAGGTTGGGGCAGAAATGGATGGGATTGGATGGGATTGGATTGGATGCGAGGGGATGCGATGGTATGCAATGGGATGTGATGCGATTTGATGGAATGGGAAGGGATTTGAAATTGGTGAAATACGTACAATAAGTCCACGTTGCTTCATTCTGTCTTAGTGAACGCACAATGCCTTTGACTCTTGCTAAGAAAGAAGACCAAAGATCTATCTTTGTCTACTTGTCATCCTCTATTGGAGATCGATCACTCATGATCCCAAAGAGAAAGCCATGAACCCTGCCCAAACTAGGACGCCCTCCCACGGGTACACGCAATGTGCGAAATGATTTTATGAACGCCCATTCCGTAAATGAATATCGACAGGCGCAATGTTCCATCACATCCTCTGCGGCATTAACTCAATTAAGGGCACATCCTAACCCCTTTGACACGAATTTAAGCGAACAACGCATAATGACTTCTTTAACGGCCATTGTCATTAGGAGCCCGGTTAAAAATGTGCACGATGATACAGCAGTTGAAGGTATAGCCCTTTGCAAGCGCGAAAGAGGTAGTTTTATCCAAGTCTGATAAAACAACCTGATGCATGAGCTGTGTTATGCCTGCTCCCCTCTCCCCAGCCCAGCCCTGAATGTTTTCAAGCAAGACGTGTAACTTGGATACTTTTGTGTTTCATTATCCAGAAC